GAGACCGTGGGAAGACACACATCCGCCAAAGCCAATTCCATGCGGACTCCGAGGATCCCAATGTTGGAAGCGTCCCGGGCGGGATCGAGATTGGCGTGTTGCAATGTTTTGGCGCCAGCACCAGCCACATGAAACGACCATTCTGACACGCGCACGCTTCACCAAAATGCTTCTGTAGTTGCTAGTTGCAGCGCTACGAGTGTGGCACTCAAACCCAAACGTTCCAGATGTGCTTCAATGTGGGTATTATGTGCAACCAAGCTGCCTGGTCTCACGCGGCACTCTATGAAGCTGATGTAGCTTTGGGAACTTTGCCAAAGGCCTGTTTTGGACTTCGGTTTCATGCCCCGTGTGCCGCATTTCAAGAGCCGATGCGTGATTTTATCGGAGATTCCGGGCCAGGGGCTTGGTTGCAGATGCGTTTGTCATTGGCTTAATTTGTCTGGCATATTCTAAACAATTGTTCTTGTCAGGAAGACTTCACATGACGCCAGAGCTTTTAAACAGATTGGGAGCAACATGCCCAGCTTTACGCGATTTGTCATTCGGCTGAACCATTGAATCATGTGGAGTGTTCAGACAAATTGAGCCCTGAAGGACTGTGTGAGGAACCCGGCTATATGATAAGGAACCCAAAAGAACAAGGACTTAAGTGGACACACAGCTATTATATGTATCCATCAAGTCGTAGGTGCCATAGATCACACTGCGAGCCATGTTTGCTTTGCGTGTTTTCAGGCGAGCGCGCGGAGTATGTGGCTGCGTTGATCACTCGTCTTCCGGCTGAAGCATCGGGGCTCGATAGTGATATGTGGACGCTTGCGACGTATTCCCCCCCCCCCACCCCCCGCCAACCTGGCCTGCCCAGCAATGCTCATATTGCCCTGAAAGCTGTCCAAAAGAGTGTGGATAATTAAAATTCATGGTTGGAGAAGACCATTCCGAAAGCCTAGTAGCGAACTCACATGTCGGGAAGTCTCCGGCATGGCATGGGTCCTGGCCCTTGCCTCTCGCAGTTTTTCCTCCACCGAACACGGAATCTTTCAAGTTCCTGGGCTCCGACTGGACGTTTAAAGCAACACACCTTTCGGGGTAGCGCCGCAGTTTCGTGTATCGCAAGAAGCAACGCGGGGACCATGTCATGACGCACGTCCATTACTTGAAGGTCACGAGGGACTCGTTTGTGGGGCGATCCGCATCGCGGGTCGAGTCTGATCTCGTGTGTCAGGCCGAGGTCGGGCGGCGGAAAGTGATGGGAAGGATCCATTGGGCCCGTTCCCCCGACCACAACCATGGAGCGGGGCTTTGGGTCACCCCTAGAATCTCCTGTCAGGGGTAATTCCATGTTTTCCTCTCTCAAACCCATGGAATTGCGGAACCTCCTGCCTGTTTGGCCAAGTTAGCAAGTTGTTACGGTCTCCTTTGTGGAGTGAACCCTGTAGTTCTCGTATACAGATTCAGAGGCCTGGCAAGGGGATCCACTGCAGCTGGTGAAAATTGTGTTTTACAGTGACTAGGGACTGGTGACTAGGGACCAGGCCACGACCTTCCCGTGGTTCCCCTTGTGACTTTGACCAAACATCTTGGAGATGAGCGACTCGCCGCGGGTTTTCGGCGACGTGCGCGAAATGCGAAGCACGGGAGGCTGGGCCATCGAGAACCCGAAGACCTCCTTGGCCGCGGCGGCGGCGGTTATCACAGGGGGCCTCTTCACCTACTGGCGACCTTGGGACCAGAATTCCATGCGACTTCCAAGGGCCTTCATCCTAGGGCGTGAATCAGGTCCCAGTTTTTGATGGGTTTTGAGTTCTCTTTGGTCAACTTGAGTCAAGGCCCCCAACAGGTCCTTTGAGTAGGTGAGAAGAGGAAACCCCTCAGTGTTCTGTGAGTTGTTGCCAGAGAAAGTGCGAGGAGGAAGATTGCTTTCTCTGAAATCCCTCATTCAGGTTGGCAAAATATCATGTGGATTGACTGTTTCATGCAGCTAGCAGGCACCTCCTCCTCTTTGCCCCTGGGTTCGGGGGAAGCTTCCCTACAACAGTGAAATAGATACCAGGTATGTTATTCAGACTCTTGATGGGGATACCCAGGGGGTGTTACATGGCAAGAAATTATGTGTACATACATCTATTCTATGCATAAGTTTAGTATGTTTAGCATGTGCACGGTGTACGGATCCAATTTGCATTGCAAGCATTAGACATTCATCCTGGCCTGTTGCAACCTGTCTGATTCATGTCCCAGCTGTTCAGCTGGTTCCCGGGCACCGGCTTGATCAAGCAATGAGCAAATGGAGGAAGTGTGAATCCCCTTCATTTCGGGGTGATATGTTGAAAACTCCTGGTCCAGGTCGGGTTCCTCAAGGGAAAGCCAAAGGGACCGCGTTTCTTTAATTTCATCATCCGTTCTTTCATCCATGCTTCTTTCCGCCAGCCGAGTTCCCTTCCTTTTTTTTCTTTTTTTCGGAAAGAAGGATTCGCGGTGGATTGGGGAAGTGCGCTTGAGTTTTGGTCGTCAACGCCATAAGACAACGCCAGCTGTTACGGTCCGGGACGGTCGACGCGGCCACGCCTCGCAGGTACCGACACCGGCGGCCAGAGCCCAAGGTGGCCGAGGCGGCGGAGAAGCCGAGCCGCCAGAACCAGAAGGCGGGGGACATGCATCGCCATGAATGGCAATTTTCGGGGGTCTCAGGTGAAAAGCCTTTTTTTGTTTTGTCTTTTTTCTTAGGTTGTTTGGGTTGGTCCGGCTTTTTTGTTGACCCCCTCCCTTTTCTTCCACGTTTGGGTTCCTTGGGTTTTCGGGAGCCTTGGGCAAGCCTGGGCCTACCTTGGCAACTGCACAAGCCTGCATGAATTGATCTTAGGCCAGGATACCGGAAAGGTCAACCCCTCGATCCACCCTTCAGCTTTCATTCGTTCATTTCGTTGGTTCAAACCCTCCAACTTGACATTCCTTCGCACGGCCACGAAGCATGCACATTTCGCAAGTTTTCACACATCGACGCCTTCTCAAATCCAGGATGAAGGACCCCTTGTCGAAATGTCTGGTTTCAGATGAGTGACCAATGTTGATTTGTGCGGAATTAGCCTGGCAGCAGGCCTCAATAGCAATATCGACTGTCCCAAAATTATCAGGGTACTGGTTATTCCGCGCAGCCAGAGGCAAGAAGTCTTGATGGACAAACTTGCTCAACTGCAAAGAGCACGTGCTAAAAAGCTTGTTAATGTACTACAGGACGCAACACCAGCACACCACGGCATAAAACACCGACACCAGGACGCCCCGGGACAACAGGGCACGGCCGGAGACCCCCGACCTGCGGCAGTTGTTTGCCTCGGGGGCGTTCCCCGGGTTTTGTTGAGTTGGTTTGGTGGTCGTTTCCATGTCCAGCCAAAAGACCTCCGGCGTTCCCTCTTGTATCTCTTCCTGGTAGGGGAAGTGTTTCCCTTTACTACATGTTTGGGGAAGCAAGGTCATACACATTTCTATGGGTCTACTAACAGTCAAACTTTGCGCAGGGGATCTGAAAACGGACAGCCCAGTTTTCAGAGTTCCGCACTTTCTGGCGAAAGAGTTCCAGTTCAACTTGTGCAGGTCCAAGCTTCCAGTTCCAGTTTGTTTTCAATATTTCGATCCCGAACACCCGCCATGTTTCGGCATGGCGGCTGAGCCAGCGAAAAAGATCGCGCCAGGAGCTCGCCGAGGCAGGCGGCGCGGTGGACACCGCGCTCCGTTTCGGGGAGATCTCGGGTGAACGAGCAGGTCGATGGGACCCCCCGTGTGTTTTTTCTTTTTGGAGCGCTGTGGGGAGCCGAAAAGTGTGGGGTTGGTGGCCTTTTGGGTCAACACGTGTTCTTGAAAGGAATGAGCAAGATCGTTGTGTTGTACCGGACTTGGTTCCACCATACTGTTTTTCCACACCCAGGACGTCTCAACTTTCTCCGGGCCCAAATCAAACAGGCGGGATCAGGCGGCCCGATCAAATCCACCAGGCCCCCCTTTCAGGTCTTCCAATTTTCCAGGCAAATCATAGCTCCCGAAATCGTGGCAATGGTTCTCGGGTCGTGGCAGTGTAGCGGTTCACAAACCAGCGTTCTGTTAGCCCTCTTTTTTAGCAGTCTTCCAAGTGGATTGTATTGTTATTCCACAGCAGACATCCGAACATCGCTTGGCTTTTGTCATGTCGCTGTTTGGCGCAAGGCGTGATTGAATAAGAATACTCGTGAGGTCTTTTACCATCTATGTCTTCATGACCAGCTAATGGAAGGCAAAGTCTTCATGTTCTGGGGTTTCGCGATTTTGGGACCTCGCCCTATTCTATGGCTCAATCCCCAGAAGCTCCTCCAAGGAGAAGTGATGTGCAGCTAACCACTGACCTTGCCCTTGGTATGACAGAAGTAAGACAGTGTGTTCAATACATGTTGGAGCACAACGATTTCCGGAACAAAACAGAGTTTTACTGACTTTTTGTAGGGTGTGAGTTGGACCAAAAACGTTTGATTCACTTTATGGAGGTCGATCGGCCCAACCCAGGCACTCTCCCCTGGGTAGCTGATAGTCAACAAGGCTTGATTTCCCCAGAAGGAAACCATAAGGGGGAGGGATTAATTTTGCATGTTTCACCAGACCCCCTTTATGTAGCCCTCAGCCTCGTCCCCTTTGGTTGCCCACGTCCCCGACCCAAGCCTATGCCAGTCAAGCAGGGCTCCTTATATCTCCCCTAGAGTATTGTCTTGGGTTGAAACACCTGCCCCTTGTTTCCTCTGATTTTATCCTAAAAAACGGGTATGTTCCAAGGGTCTGGTGCAACCTTTGATACTAATTCTGGCCCATAAGTTTCTACCGGTTACCAACTTTGGCCCCAGGGCTGAGTTCTGCTTCTGTCGTTTGGGTTGGACATGGCTCGGACACCCTGCAACATCCCCCTTTGTGATTCGACCTGAAGGGCAAAGGGGGGAGCTGTGTCACAAAGGGATGGCTGAGTCTTAGGTGAGTTTCTGGCCCATGGGTTTCTACCAATGGTAGCCCGTGGGTTTCCCCATCGTTTTGGGGTACAACCTTTGGCCCACGGATGAGTTTTTGTTGGGAAAGCGACGACCCAGACCCGACACGACCCAAAGATTTGACCACGGCGGCCCCCATGGCTGGGACTAACCGGACCAACCCCTAAACATGGTTGTTGTTGGGAAACATTTTACATTCTTGCTTCTTGTGGTTTAGTGGTTGAACTCCAACCACTGAACTGCTAAAATTTTTGGTTTCTGCTCCCCAAACCCAACGTCAATCAATTTAAACTTCAGAAGCCCTGCACCCCGACGACTGCACCAGGCCCTGCGAGGCTCGGTGGATGCCTTGGACTTCCAGCAGCTGCTGGCAGCGCGCATGGCGCTGCTGGGTGCCGCCCTGGAAGGAGGGTTGGGTTTGGGGGGGAGCGCCAGCCACCATGGATACACAAAAAAAAACAACATATAGTATGTAATATAATATATATATATATAGTATGTAATATATATATATATATCAGATGCTATATACATATATATATATATGCTAACATACACATGAATTCCATAATGTAGTAGTGTATGATGTTATTGTGTATACTCACCTGTCCAAAGGGAATCAACCTTTTGACCTTTAAGTGTGCCTTTTGCTGGTCCGGTTTTATTCAAGTTTGAAGGCAAACCGTCTGTTTTTGGATCCCTTGGGCAAAGGAGAAAAACAGACAGCAGACGTCCCTCGTTGACACATTGTCTTCCACTAGAGGACACCATGGGCACTCAGGGATTTACTCCCGATTCCCAAAAGCAGGGTCCAAAGGCAAACGCATGTTTGAGGGTCCACCTTTTTGAGGGGACTTATGTGGTGTTCAAAGAGGGATTTTGGACCCCACAGTGGTTGCACTTGAGACCAACCATTTGGGTGCGGCTCGTTTGTTTCAGGCTTGGTACCCATTCAGCTTGGCTTCAAGGGAAGCCCCTTTTTTGACACCCACGCATTTTTTATAGGGAGATTACTGTATGTCCACGAACCATTTTTTTAATGTGTTGCAACCATTGAAATCGCTCAGGATTGGTTTGAACCTCCCAAAACTGACAAAGCCACCTTTACGCAGAAAAGTCGTTTGGGTTCCTTTGGATGTCGTTTTTTGGGGTCCCCATTTTCCTTAGCCTTGTGAAAGCGTGTTTGGAGAAGCCCTGAGAGACAGCAATAGGTGCGTTTGGGCCACAGCAAAGGCATGAAATCATGAAACCCCAGAGGCCCTTCACAAGCATCCCTCTCCAACGATTTGCTTGAATCACAATTCACCAAACGAAAATAAGGGATCTTACCCAAAAAGTTTTCGTGGTTCCGCTCGCAAAACAAAAGCTTTTGTAGGTTTGCGATTTTATTCGCAGAGAAGCAGACACGGAATACCAAACTCTGAAACAGAATGGATGCCCGTTGAGTTTTTCCTTTGTGCCACAGCATTCCCTTTGAGGCAAGTTGATGAATTGCGGATTGCGTGATGTTGCCCTTCAGGTTGAACCTCCAGAAGTGGCAATTGCAATGGGCAGCACCAGCAAGTTGCAGCTTCTTTTTTAACTCCTGACATTGGAACCGGGAAGACCATGCCTGACTTGGAATCCTGGTGTGTGTGTGTGTGTCTGAAAATTAGAAGGCGCTCCTTTGTATCAGGTACCCCTTATTTAGATTGGTGGTTTGGGGGTTGAACCTCAGTTCCTTTTCAAGCCAGGTGAGGAAGGTACCTCTCTCACCTCAATACAGCTAGGCCAAACAACCAATGATGTGATGGAAAAAGGGGTAAATCTACACACTTGTTCCAATGCGCGCCACCTGAGGCTCATGGCAGCGCATATGTAGCGCCCATCTTTGAGGGAGAACTCCTTTTGAGGGTTCCTATGGATCTCCTAGGGTTTTGTATTGCACCCCAACATCACACCCACAGGCAAATTGCTGCATTGGGGATAACCTCGTTTGTTCTGACCTTTTTTGAGTGATGTCAGGGTCTGCTGTAGTACTCCCAGGGTTGAATCAAATATCCTCATATATATACGTATATACGTTTATCTGATCGGAAGCTATGATCATCCTGGGATCATTCTTAGAGTCGCCGCATGGTGAGATTGGAGCTTCGGCGACAAATTGTGTGTATGCCCCCAACCATCCACGAACATGGAACCTACCCTGGAAGACGATGTTCCTCTTGCAGGGACCCACTGGGTGGGGGTTCGCGCAGGCGAGTGCAACTTGACTCAGTCCAAACCTGGGCTGCCTGACGAGGTGGAGAGACTGTCAATGGGGATAAGGGACATAAAAGCACCGAGACCATGACTCATGACTTGCCCGGTACTGGGTATGACAAATACGATATGTTTTACATTACGTGGCACTCGTTTCTGTTTCATGATTGTTGGCATTTTGTTCCATTACCGATAGTATTGGTGGTTTATCATTGTCGCTACGTTTATATATCTAGACCAATTGCCTCATACACATGCTGGCTTTTGCCTGAGCTGTTTAAGGTCTACTACGGTCACCGGGCCAGGATTCAACTGCGCCAATGTCTGCCATTGACTTACACGTTCATTTGGGGTTCAACAAAAGGTGACGTGTGAGGTTTGTCGGGTGTGAGGGCTGTTAGCCCCCTGTACAGGGTCACGGCCTGTACCATATTATCATCTATGTTGTGTTTGTTGTCCGTGTCAACTAGGTTTTGTTCAGAGGTCAGTTTAATGCCAGCGGGGTGGATTCGGTGTCCACCATCCGCGTGCATGTTCCAAATTCATGGACCTTGTGTTTCCCTGCATGACTGAAGTTGCTAGGTTTTGCCGCATACACACCTCCATTGACAACGGGATATGCCTTTTTTTTCCAACATACCGAGCATGCGCGTGGCTGTTTGAAGGTGTGCAAGCGACATGAGTCATTGCCAACTCCCCCGTCCTCCAATTCAACACGCCTAACATTCGGCTGCGCTTCCCACGAACAGGTGATCAAGTTGAGACGCGTGTTCTTGCACGCACGCGTGCCAAAGGGGTGTAATATCTTTGATCTCTTTACCACTGAGCCGTCTCAATGTAGTAAACAGAGCAAGTATAGATTCGTGCTTGAGGGGGAGCCTCAATTTCGCACGAGCGAGGTCAAAGGGGCGCGCGGATGGCCACTTGGATGTTCGTTTCTGGCTTATTATCGAAAGGAGGCCCCCAGTTGCCTCGCGATTTGTGGGGGTCGGCTTCCTTGCCCTTTTTTCTCATGACCACTGAGGACTGTGTTTATTTTGCTCTTTGCTTTGTCTTCAAGAACTCACCAACCAACAATAGAAGCGGCCAAGAAGCCTTCTGAACAGGTTACGACCCCCCTTTGTCAATTGTCCGTTTCCATGACTCTTGGGTCATTTTTCTCATGGCCGCCAGGGCAAGTCGCTGATATAAACAGATCGCAGTTCTGCCTCCGGCTGGCAGGTCCTTGGAAAGGAGGAGCTGATCAAGTATGTCCGGGCGCCAGCCGGACCCTCAAGGGATGGCATATGTTTTTCCTTGTTTCCAATGTAATGTTGACCCAGGATTAATAAACCCGTCCCACTATTAGGGGGGTGTTCCCTCCAAAAGTGATGAATACCCACCAAAAGGGGACACCCCCCTATTAATCAAGCAGGGGTTTATTCATCCGGGGTTAACATTACACCAGTTCCGGTCCCAGGGAGGTCAGTCAAGTTAGCTACCATACGCCAGCAGAGCTGGAGGGCGAAAGTTTCTAAGGACATGTGACATCCCCTGCCCCAGGCGCGCGCACCTTTTGGTTGAATTGGCTGCCGCAGTCGAGTTGGTCTATCTATCTCTCCATCCCATCCTATCCTATCCTGTCCTGTCCTATCCTGTCCTGTCCTATCCTATCCTATCCTATCCTATCCTATCTATCTATCTATCACCTGACCTTGCGAAAGTGCTGCTCCTCGCAAAACAGGGCTACCCTTCGCGTGTTTCGCATGTGGGTAACTCCACTTTTTGTATTACGGAAGTGTTCTAACTAAACTTCCCTACCCAGAGGCTCGTGGGCCCTCCTGGGGAGGGTCCGGGGCCCTCCTGGGGAGGGACCGGCCTGTTTGTCGGATACGGGGCCCTCGTGGGCCCCCAGTGCAATCCGGACGGGATGGATGGATCGCCGATCGACCAAAATGGCCTCGAATCACACCTCCCCTATCCGACGGTTATCCGACGGTTATCCGACGCCGGGCCCTCGTAGACTCTCAGTTTTGGGGGCCCCGGCCCAATTTTCCGACGGGCATCCGACGGTTATCCGACTGTTATCCGACGGTTATCCCACGGTTATCCGACGGCTATCCGACGCTTATCCGATGGTTATCCGAAGGTTGCTTGGGCAGCCCTAAGGCCCCCCAAAAAAACCAGCCCGAGGGCCTGCGAGAGCCCGCGAGGGCCCGCGAGGGCCCAAGGGCCCGAAACATGAGTTGGGAGCGTCTGGGTAGATCAATTGCTTGGAAGTAGAGCTGGTCTTCAATCTCTTCCTTCACCAAGCAATAGCATAATCAAAAGCGCAGCATCCGTGGGCAACCCTGCGAATCGATCAGCCCAAGGCTTGGGCAAACATAGAATAACCCCAAAATGGAACCAAGGACTAAACCTGCGGTGCCCCGATCCTGGTGCCTCATTCTTGACCCTATCCACCTGGTTCTATACGGGACCCGATCATGAGAGAGCTTCAGAGAAGCCTCATGTTGAGCAGGTTATATCGATCCGTAGGTTTGACTGTCGCAGAGAACCCTTATGACCCGATCAGCTAGGCCGAGAGGTGAACATTTTGCACACTTAGATTAAGAGAAGGAAAATCCAAACGCCCTCTGTAGAGCAGTCTCACTTAGAATGACCCTTTCTTGGGCTCCTGATGGAGAGTATCGGCCTTCACTACATGAAGTCTATCACATGTCGAGCATGTTCCACTCGTGATCTGAGGCGGCCCTTGGGCAGAGCGGCTCGGTGGGTGCTTCGTGCCCTGTCCATACCAGGGTTGTCCAAATCAATAGCAACCAGGCGCCAGGGGAAACCAAGAGCAGGTAGTTACACACAAAAATGGTGGTTCAAACATGCCTCAGCGGCACACTCAGGGCATTAGCTAAAACGATGTTGTTTCCGCAAAGAATGCTGGTTAAGACAGGGATTGGCCCTGGTCCGACCATTTCTTGGCAGGGTTGTGGGTGCATGGCCAACACATGGCAGGTGTTGTCGGAGGGGGGGGGGGGGTTGGGAAGCCCTACTTTGTACGAACAGAGAACTGTCGCGTTCCTATGTTCCTGGAGGGCAACAATTTGTTGTTGGGAAGATTAATCAAAGGGCACCAAATGCACTGAAGTTTTTCAAAAATGAAAATGGGGTACCTAGCACAATACGTGTTTGGGCTCAGAAGCAGCTATGGGACTTAATCCGAGAAAAAGCAAGTAGTTTTGTCCGCAGTTTAGTTTTGTTTCCTTTTTTTCTCCGGAACAACTCCCATCCCGCCAACTACCGATTTCCTTGCACATCCTGTATACAAAAGTGCCCAGCTGACAAATTTCAACGGGGGTAACACATGGCCACCCAAACACTCAATAGTAGAAATTAAAAGGGGTACGCAGATGTACAAGCGTCTCTTTGCCCCTGCCCTATAGTCATTCCTATGTCTTTCTTGTCCACTAGGTCTTTCTTCTGAGTACCAAGAAAGTCAGAATTTCTCGGCAATGGACCCCCTTCCCCCCAATCGCTCAGTACCTTACATCTCCTGTATAATACAAATGCTCGGCCCACACATTTCCCACAGGGTAGTACATGGCCATCCCAAATACACAACAATAGAAATGAACAAGGGGCACCCAATTGTGCAGCCACTTTCCAGGCCGAAAAAACAAAATACGAAACCAATACAAACCAATGGTAAGCTAGTACCAGGGCAAAGCCGGTACTAAGGCAGCACAAAGCAATACTTAACCAATTCAGCCTAAAGGAATACTCAGACTCAAAACCAGAACTAGGCAGATAGGACCGAAGAGGACCGAAGACAACCGAAGCAATACTAAGCCAATACTAAACTAATACACACCAATACCAGCCAGTACTGGCAGCACCAAGCAATACCCAACCAATACCCTTGTTAGTCAGCGACCCACATTATCAGTTTAATCACCAATTCATGGAAACAGAGAAGGAGGAATATGTTCGACCAACCCTCCTCCCCTCAAGGAAGCATCATAAGGCAGGTTGGCTGCGTGCCCGGAGGCATCCCAACCTGCGCCCCACAGAACAGGAAAGGAGCCCAATGCATTGCGAGGGGGGGCACCGCTTGGTCAGCTGGAATCGGTGTGCCACAGTTGTCAGTATTGTTGTTAGATTTGTGGAAAGAACTCTTGCACTTACTCTGACTTGGATATCTCCCTAGCCTGTCCAAAATCGTGACCCAGAGTATTGACCGGCAAGACATGGTGCTTGCTTCCAAACATTTTGCAGAAGGACCCAAGAAAGCTTGTGTTGGTACACGGACTCGCCTGGAAGGAAAGGGCAGCGTTTTGAGATTGGCAGGTTTCAAGGGTACGGTAGGTGCCAGAGAGGATGTCCATGCCGAAAATCGATAGGGTAGTTCCCAGAAAAGCAACTCAGCAGTTGTTTGGTCAATTTGTTGCGCATGGGCGACTCCCCAAATTGCCCAAGTATTCTCATACAGCTCAAGACGGCACCTGAAAAACATGCATGCTTAGAGAAATATCCTCTTGCAGGGCTCGCTTCTGGGCTCCATGTACATTTGCAGGGGAGTATACAACCCTGGTGGAAAAAGGGGAAGCCGTTTCGGGGTTGATGACTGTGGGGAGCCAACTAGACCAAAAGCGAACAACAGTGCCACTGAACAACTCAAATAGTAGTTTCCCTCCAAATGGCTTCCTTTTGGTCTCCTGTTCGGAGACAGACCCTTATATATATATATATAAGTCATGGTCAATATGCAAAGTCACCAGCAAGGACATTGGAAAATTAGGGTTTGCCCCTGTAGGCTGTGATAGATGGGCTATTGTCAATTAAATGTCCAAGGTAGGCGAACAGCCCGCGCCGTTGCGCTTGCCCAGGTGCAAGAATGGGAACGCAACAGCCGTTCAGCTCGCTTGGGGCGGGCCGGCAGAGGTGCGAGAAGGGTCAGCTGAGATGGGGTTCAAGCAAAAAGGGCTGGGTGGTTGGGTGGTCGTGATTTTAGGCTTCTTTGTTGGGGTCCATCTCTTGCAGCAGGTTGGTGAAGTATGTTTCACATAGTAGTGTAGTTGCGGTTTGCAGGATCCTCGAAGTTACCCCTGAAGGATCTTTTGACGTCAAGGTGACTTGAAGTGACTGTGTGTACCTCTGTTGAGTCTGGGAAGATATTGAACAGCTTGTTAGAGAGGTAATTTAGTTGCGAGCTGCAGCCCTCGCGTGTGGTTGTGTTGGGCTACGTTCTCGCCATTTCCATTGTTTGACAGACCCACCCATGTGCAGGAAATCGAATTCTGCAGTCATACCTGGATCAACGGTGTGATAAGTTGGGATTTGCCACCCAGAAACCCAAACAGCCATTTCCCTGTTGGCCTTTCAGGCCTTGTTAGACATGGACAAAATGCCATACAGATATCCAGGAGAGTTGGCGGACGTACACCCTCAAGCACAAGGACACATGGCTATGATTTATGATTTTGTGTTGGCAGCCACTTGTAAACTAACTGGAAGGCATGAATCTCCATATAGGAATGGCACCCAAATGACCCAGAAGAAACTTAAATATCATAGCCACTATGCTTGACGTGTTTGCTTGAGACCACCCATTCCAAATCATTCCCCGGCCCATTTTCGGGTTTCGGCTGGATTTGTCGGGAACCTTAGGAAGCCCGATGAGTCCATCGACCAGGCTTTCGTGAAGCAGAAGCAGCACACATCCAAACAGGAACGAGACCTGAAGAAAGTCATGGAGAAGAGACTCATAAATGTTGAGAAGCACGGCAAACATATGCCCTAGGATGAAATAACCCCTCCGTGGCAGTTTATGTCCAACCATTTCTGAGTGTGCAGCCACTCAAGTTCCTCAGGGTTGCTCGGAGTCATTTCGACTTCCTTCGCAGGGGCCAGCTTTCCACAGGGTCGGATGCGAGCAATCCTGTTGCCTTCGCACAGGCGCTTCTGCCGCAGCTGCAGCTGTTGGGTGTGGTCAATGCCACCGCTTGACGGTGGTTGAAAAGACGCGTTTTACGGCGCGGTTGGCGGCTTCGGAGTGGGGGACCAGCACGTTTCAGAACGAGCTCGTCTTTCCCATTGGCTTGCCTAAAACCCACCACAAACAGTGTCAACCAACAAGAGGACACACCCAAATCAGTCAGCGTCTTCTTACGGGATCGTTGTTACTGTCCAGTTGGGCAGGACGCCTCGAGCAAGATCGTGCTTCATATCACAGTGCTCTGGCTCCTACGAAAGGTCTGCTCGTTAGCTCAGCTGGTCCAAGGCATCCTTGCCACCTTCCTTTTGTGTCCATTGGACATGCATGTTGGTATCTGTCTATAAACAAGCATGTATAGTTATGTCATTTGCGTTTAACGCCGATCATTGTAGTTATCGGTTATGCTTACTTTTGTGATGATTGCAATGATTGGTAGTATTAGTTGTTTCTACTATTATTACGAGTAGTGTTGACCCCATACGAATCACCCCAGTTTATTGATAGGGGCGGGTTGCCCTCCAGAAGTGATGACTAAACCCAGGGACACCCCCCCCATGAATAAACTTTGGTTCATTCAGATGGGGTCAACATTAATGTTATGATTCAGTGTGTACTCTTTGTGATTATTCGATATATATATATAATATAATATATATATATATAATATGCTACCCCCCCTTGAAATATTCAGATTTTTGAATAGAACTGAGGTTTTTGGCCAGACTGGGGGTGACCATTTGCCTTGAGACTCTGAAATGAACTGGACACTCAACTCCATGCAAAATCTAACCAAGCAGAAGTTAAGCTCAACGTTGATTAGGAGTTGCGAGTTGTGTGACCGTCACATTGGCGTGCGCGAAGTGCACTTAAAGTCACATTGGAGTATGCAAAGTGCAATTTGGCAGCTCCAGCTCAAAAAACACAACTGTTCAGTACAGGAGTAGTGCGCGAAGTATGTCTTGGCAGCTTCAACGCGCCTGTAGCAGCCCGCGAAATTCAGCAAAACATCAACTCGGGGAAAAGGAACTCATTCCTAATTCATGTCCTTGCGCAGCTGAATTTACATGTTAAGTCGAGTGTTGTGCATAATTCCTGACATGCTAGTTCAGTCTATTTGAAACATATGTTGCAAAGCAACTATCCCACGTGTGTGTGCGTTGCTTGTCTGAGTTGGTTCCATCATCGCCAATAACAACTATTGAAATTCAAGTAGGGGAAGAACATCCAGTTAAAAAAGCTTTCGAGTTCAAACCAAATTCAAGTTTACTTGTTTGCAGTTTCTCGTGCATTTCAAAAGGCAACTGGAGAAGATAGCTACTGTCATGGCCAAGTGAATTTGGAATAGAACTCAATTTTGAAAGGGTTATTGCCCTTATCGAACTCCATGTGGTTTGAACCAAGCAAGAACTGAGCCAGGCCAATGACAGGAACGTGGATTCAATCATAGATCCTATTATTTGCATAACTGCTGTAAAACGCAGTGTTATTCAGCATTTTCTCAGATCGTGTTGCCCTGGATCGAACATCGAATATACAAGGTTCCACAAACATATGATTTGAATATACTCAATCCTGGTCCCCCAAAGACTTGACAGTTTGTTCCAGACTCATTAAGGTTTCGCCCCCTGCATTGAAGATTGAAGATCTACCATATTTTCTATTTGAGAATCTGCCATCCTGGCCAGCCCTCAAGTCCACAGAAAAACTGTAAAGGTGTCAGCAACATTTTCCCCCTGGCCAATTGCAGGCAGTGCAAGTGCACATGCACATTTTGATTCTGACAACGTGCACTCCTGGTTTGCCTTTTGGATTCTTCAAATCCGCACTTAAGGCAATCCAGGATCTGGATGGGAGATTGAAGATTCTCCGACAACTCTTTCTGAAATTCTCCAAATAAGTACTTAGAGTAACCCAGGATGTGCTAGCACGTGCTAGCACATCCTGGATTGAAGATTGAAGATTGAAGATTCTTAGACCACTTGTTCTGATCCATCCTGAGGACAAACTGGTATGTGCTAGCACGTGCTAGCACATCCTGGAGTGAAGATTGAAGATTGAAGAATCCCAGAGAGAGTTGTAAGAGAATCTTCAATCTTCAATCTAGGATGTGCTAGCACGTGCTAGCACATATCAGTTAGTCCCAAGGTCGGATTGAAGTCTAAAAAGGAGTGCATATTTTAGAACCTCATTTTAGAAGCTGGAACGTGTCTTTTGCATGCACTTTTACAGCCAACATGTCAATTTCTGGCCAAAAACCTGAGTATCCTGGGGGGGGTACCATATATATATATATATATATATTATCCTTGTGGGGGGGGAAACAAGCTCTCCATGAAGGCCCCTGAGAATCCCTCAATTTGTTTTTTGTCGTGTCATAGATTTGCAAGAAGGATGGGGATGTTGGAGTTCTGAGGCTAGATGAAATCATAGACTACGGCGATGGCCTCAGATTGAGCGCGAGAGAGACGGGCGGTGCAAGCTGCATACCCCAAAATCACCACCTTGAAGCTGGGATCCCGAGATAGACATGAGTGCTTGCGTTACCCTTGGCGTCTTCAAGGGACCGGACTGGCTTGTGTGAAACCTTCGCAGAATCTGCGAAGAAACTTCCCTCACAACACACTGAAGGATCGTAATTAGGGTAGGCTGATGTTTACAAGAAGCCCACAGGAGTGGCGCTTCTGGTTTCTGTGGTCATGCCTTCCCTGCGTCCCTGACCATAAAGGTTAGTTTCCTGCGAGAACTTCATGCAACAATTTTGATGTTAGGGTTTTAGGGGACAATCGTTGTCCAATGGCATCCCTTTCTCTTTGTCGTGGATGGGCTGTCTTTCTTGCACTGGGAGTCACACGCATGGAGCCCCCCTTTCCCACTGTAAAATCCAAAACGTGAAGCAGGACACTTTCTCTGTGCGGGCATCTCTCATTGCCTCTCTCTCTCTCTATCTCTTTCTCTCTTTCTCAGCGTCTCTTCTACACACACACACACACCCACACGCACACCTCCACTCCCACAGCCACACCCACACCCACACCCGCACGCGCCCGCACGCGCACGCACACATGCCAAACGCCACCGGCTGGATTCTAGGCAAATAAGTGCTGCCAGACATGCAGGCTACCCACAAATCCTGGAAGTGGACGTGCTGAAGAAGTACATCACACAGGCCAAATACATTGCTCTCTTGCACTGTGACCCCGGCCCCTTGTCAGTCAGCTGACGTTTCAAAAGAACAACCAAAGGGATTTCGTTAGCTTTTTGAGGTGTCCTGCACACATGTAACAGAATCAGGCACCCCTACTGCTGGTCAGTTTCTTTTTGGCTTCCCTTGACCCGTGTGTGTATGTGTGCGAGTGTCTGTGTGTCTGCGTGTCTGCGTGTCTGTGTGTCTATGTGTCTGTGTGTCTGTGTGTCTGTGTGTGTGGGGGTCAAAATTAGGGACCCCTACAAGTGACCACTCTTCTTGTGTGTTCCTTTCACCCAGGCAAAAGGGGGCTGAAGCCATTTCTGACACGTGCGTGCCTTTGCCGATTGGTTTGTGATAATATATATATATATATACATATGTATATATGTAGAGAGAGAGAGAGAGAGAGTGTGCCTTTGGATTAAACCGAAGAGGGCCACTGGATTTGACGCGTACCCATGCTGCTTCAAGTTGTGATGGGGACACCACAACCTCCAACATGGTGGGTGGACACATTTCCATGTAAATCATGTGCAGCAATGGGCCCTCAAGAAGGCTGAACACCCATGTGAAGCATGTGAAGCATCGCGTGCTTTGCGCGGAACTCTTTGCCAGGGTGGAGCCAAGAACATCGACCTGAACGACCAGGAGACGCTGAAAAAGATCACGGTGCAGGCCACTGGCCGGCTTTGAAGGGCAAGGCTTCGGAGTTCCCGGGAAGCCCCTTGTTTTGATTAGGGCCAAGCGAGAAAGGCTTGGAAAATTCAGGGTTGTTAATTTGGTTGTTGGGTTTGGTGGTACCCTGCTGTCGGTTCAGATTATGAGCAACGATTGCGTGTTCAAACAAGGAGTACAGCGAGGCTGCTTGCTGTCTTCAAGCAAGGTGGTGGTACTGGTACACGGTTAAATCGCAGATCGCCTGGATCTCTGGTGACCGCTGTGTTCCCAGCTCCCCACGTTCGCAAAACGGCAAGTGGCAAACTCACGCAAGGTTTTGACCTAAAGGACAATGTACTAGCCAAGCTTTAAACATCAGCAAGAAGACAATATTAGATGGTTTTCACCCAAACCAGTTCCTTGCCCATATCTAAAACGACTCTCGGTGAGGCTACTGGACGCCATCTCAGGCCACCGGAGTGTGCTCCTGGCGGGCCGAGGGCATCAAGCACCGGAAAAATGAGGCTCACTTCGGCGATGGATCTCCAAAGGGCAGCCTCCAGGTTGGTTTCGTTTGGTGGAGGGAGCCCAAACAAGCATAATCAGGCCTTGAGGGCTTCACTGAAGGGCTTACTTTGGCTCCCGCCCCCCCCCGCCCTCACCTCGGAGTGGTTTCTTTTGGGTGTGCAGTTAAAGAACGCTTCTTGATGGACTTCGTCACTTTTTGGGAAGACCATTGTGTGGTAAACAAGAAGTTTGGGAGCGTTGTATGAGTAAGGCGATCCCAAACAATTTACCCCCGCAAGTGGTTGATGGACATGAATCCCCAGCTAACTGATGTCCGCCAAAGGGTCCCCCCAAGTGAAAAAAGAAATGTGTGCTCGTTTGGAAGCACATGGTGCTTCAAGGCATCACGCCCTTGTGGCTGTTCGGAGGGATCTGCTTCCTTTTGGGTGACGAATGCCGTCTCCAATTTGGAGGTCTTCATCGACGTCATTGAGAACGTGGCGAGCCAAGCTCGGCCAAACTGGGGGCGGGGACATGTAGGGAGCTGTGGAAAGTACATGTCCGGGCAGCAGGTTCAGTCGACGTTGTTCTATTCACCTCCTGGGGGCGAACATAGAAGGCAGTTTGGTCTCCCATCCAGCGATTGTCCGCAGGGCAGCAATGTTTGCGGGAGGATTTGTTACGATGAATGGCTCTTGTCCTATGGTCGAAGCAAACAGCAAACCCAAGCAACGGGCAACGGATAAACATGCTGATAGTCAACTGTCTCGCTCATCTAAATCCAACCTTTCAAAGTGTTGTTTGGGGGGAGACCCTTAAAGAATCGCTGTAAACGGGGTCTAAGCACAAGTTGTGGTTGGTATTTGGTTTTGGCAGGGATTTGCAAGAGAGCAATCAAAACCCGGGCCTTTTTGGGAAAACACACAGCGTGGTCTTAAAGGAGCCCTGAAATGGATGGTTGCCCCTTGGTTTTCCCTCAGCACAACCCAACAAGAGTATCCCAAAAAAGACACACACACACACACACCCGCACACATATGTATACACGTATATATGTACATATATATATATATACACATTTCTATTTTGTCCGTGGGTCACCTGAGGTGAATATCTTGATGTCTACCAAGCGAGAACGACTTAGAGCAGATGCTGGCGGCCCCAGCTGCGCGGGGTTAGCGTATTTTTTGTGGGTCGCCTGAGGAGTTTGTGATGTGAGCTTGATCAGGGGTCCTCACCCCGTTTTGGGATATTGATATCATGTTGTGGGACAGTGGTGGTTGAGTTTCCCTTTAGTGGGGTGATGTTGAAGGCTTGCTAGTTTCCTCTAAAACGGACCTCCTGGATGTTGCTGAGTTGGGCGTGAAGCAAGGCGAGTGAAAGCAGTGATGCGGTTGGAGAGCTTAGTCGTTCAGGGGTGGTCAACCCCCAAAAGGATCGGTTCCTTCTTTCTACCAGGATCGTCGGGGAAGAGGAAGATATTCAAAAAGGATTCAGGGGCCTAAACTTCTGTGGTTTCTTCCGTGGTTCCTTTGTGGGGAAGGTTAGATCAGTTTGTCAATGGAATTGGGGCACAGCTCTCTCCAGATAGGGGACCGTCAAGCCGTTTCTACTGGGTTGCAGTGGACCGAGGTCTCTGGAGAAATCCTGGTCAACTGCAAGCCCGGAGCCCGAGCGATTTGGAGTCCATGAAAGTGTCTCAAGGGTTTCCGATGTTCGATTCGTGAATTCTAGGGATTGCTGCGCAACCTGAAAATTGCCTCTAAGGGCAGTTGACCTAAGTGGATTAAGGCCTTTGTGATATTCATTGACCACTCCCATTAAGTGCATTTGCCTGCAGACTGTAAACAGGTCCTGTGCTCTCCAACTCCAGATCCGACTTCGAATCTGAGGCTGTCAGGAATGCCGGAGTGCAAGTTCGGCATGAATGACAAGCTTATCATGTCACGAACTCAGACTTCTCAACTTGAGCCGTTGCTTCAGATAGTGTCCCCCCCCCCCGCTCCCCCCAATGAAGGTGGGGATGCAAACCCTGGCAGGTCCCCCGATGTTCGAACCCTGATATGCTTTCCAAGCTCGTTTCCTTGCGTGTGTTGAAGGGAAGCTAAACGAGAACCACCCTGGCGGGTGGAACCCCCTGACTGGCTCCTGAAAGACCATCTACCCTCCCACTAACCTGGCACCTGACAGGGTCCTTTCAACAATTGGTCTTCCAGTACCCTCCCACAGGCGTACAACCGGACCTGATGAATTCTATGGCAACATGGGTCCCACAATTTCAATTCCGCCCTTAAGAATGGTCATCCTCCCCAAACCGGAGGGGTGTGTGTAAACCAACAAAAACGGGCGTGTGTGCCTTCCGGGCAAGCAGGAACCCCCCAAGCATAATAAGCCAATTTCGTCCTCAAAGTCAACTATTATATGTACTTCTTTGTTTTTTGGGGGTGGGGTCGGCTTAAAGGGTGACCAAAAGGAACGCTCCGCACATTTTAGGGATGGGGACTCACATTTATTTGACGCCCCAATAGGCGCCGGAAGCCGAGGACCGCCGAGGCGAGAGCGCGGAGCAGCGACAAAGGCATCGCCTTGGATGACTACAGGCGGGGGAGGGATGGCCTAGAGGAAACGCCTCCAGGAGCCTTACCCTCAGGCGATTCCATGGAAGCTCCTAAAACCTCGTTGGAAGACTTGGTTCTATTTTCAGTGGCCTTATGGGAGCTTTCATGTTAGTTTGAGGGAGTTTAGGTTCCATGTTCGTGGGAGGGAAATGCTGGTTATGTCCGTTGTGGTGCAAATTTATCGCACGCCTCCTCCTTTTCTCCACCTGCCGAAACCCGCCAGGTTTCACCAGTGCGTTCGACTGTCGAAATTCGACGTGGACCGCGAGATTACGTTCATCCCGCCGGATGAGCCCTTTCAGTTGATGACGCTGCTGCCTGAGACGCCTGTGTCACCCGAGACCTGCGCGAAGTTGCTTGTTGTTGGGGGTGTTGTCTGGTGTTTTAAGGGGAAACCGCGGGAAAACCACCAGTTGCTGGAAACCCCTCCAGAAAGACAGGCCAAGCCCATTTTTGAACTTGCACTGCACCTGCCATTCAGCCCAGTCACAGCATTTGTTTGCGTCACGCCTGCCTGTTTAATATCGCTGCCCCCATCCAGTAACAGTCAACTTGTTTTCATGATGTAGAAAGACCATCATCCACCGTTCGTGGGGGGTCCAAGTCGTGCTGGTTGTGTGGGTCCTGGTACTGCTGGTCTTCCAACTTGAAAGACCAGCGGGCGCATGCTTTGGGCATGCTCATTGAGGTACCGCATTACTGAGAACATTGAGAGCCCCTTCAAGCTGCTTCCCAACGTGAAGGCGGCGTTGGCAGCTTGTGATTCACAGTCTGATTCTTAGCAAGTCACTTGATGGATATGGGCCGACATAGCACTTTGAGTTAAAGTTATAGGGACAGATCTGTTTGATCATTTTGTGGCCATTCTGCACTGTGTTTTTGTGATGTTGCATGTCATTGGAAGAAACCTAGAAGAAGTTGACAGGGACTTTGGTGGGGGGATGGGGGGTCCGTTTACACGGGAGCTGTTCACTGTCTTTGGGCGGACGGCAGAACATCCAATTCTGAACGAGGCTGCTGTACTACTTCAGTGTTCAGCGCTGGCCCGTGGCAAGGCCCTTGAGAAATAGGGATGTTCCCTTCTAGCGGTGATCAGGACTTTCCTTTCAAACTACCTTACAATATATTGAACATTTCATGTGATGCGGTCCCTGCACAGTAAGGTCGTATTGGAGGTATGCCGACCTCTGAGAAAAAGGATTCGGCAAGAGGATCATCCCAGTAGTGCCGTGCACACGCGATCCCCTCGCCCGCCCCGTTCCATCCCTGTTTGTCGAAGCCATGTGCATGGTTGGTTGCGATACAAGTCAAGATATTTTTAGCATCTAATTGCCATGGTGCCCTTGAACATGTATTTCCAATTGATGTTATGTTGATAAAAGTCCGGGGGGAAAATCACAACAACAAATCACAAAACAACATACTTACAAGAGTTTTATGAAACAACATATTGTCACATTAGATAGGATATATTCCAAATAATGCGTAAGCCAGCTGGCATTCCCAAAGTGACTTGCCATTGTTTTGGTCTGTCTGGCACAACGCTTTTGAACACCCACCTAGGACATGCTTAATTGTCCGAGGTTGGCACGCACCTCTTCAAAAGATGAGACAAGCCCCCTAGAGAAGTTGATGTTGAAACGGCGTCCCAGATTTGAACGGGTCGAATCGACCCTGATTTTTGGTTCGCCAGGTGCTTGGGCGCAGCAGATTGGAGCTGAGCCTGCAAGTCACTGCCATGCCGGGGACCATGGATTCGGGTTTTGGCAGTTCCTCCGACATTTATATACGATATATATATATACATATACATATACATATATATAGAGATTGAGCTTGACTGTCATTGACAGAATCCGACAAGATGATTCTTTGTGTATTCTGTTGCGCCATGTGCCAGACCTCACGCCAGAGCTTCTGTGCAAATGATCCGGTGATCTTTTGTGGGGGTGTTCAGTGGGTGCTTTCAAGTGCTTTAACGCTTTCAGAGGACCAACCAAGGGACCAAGATGTACTGAGGTTCGGTCAGCTAAAAACATCGTTGCCATGCGAAAACGCCAAAGGGCTTGGCATCCTGATCGACCCTTCGATCTGAATCAGAAAAATAAACATCGTTCCACCCTTGTGGATTCCACTTCTCCCTTCCCCCCTGGTACCTTTGGTAGATTGCTCGGGTCATGCATCCAAGCCAAACCCTGGATACAGTTTTTCGAAGGTTCCAACGTCTTTCGCCTGCTCAGAATTGCTACGACCGTCAGGGGACGTCGAGAAAGAAGCAAAGCTCCAGTTTGTTCGCCATGACTCTGTTTTTGTTGAGTTGGTACCTCTTTTGGAGTGGTTTTCAGGAGAAACCAAAAGGAACGCCACCCATTGTGGGGGGTCCAACCTTAAACAAGACAGACCCAAGTACAAGATTCCTCCAGAGTTTTCGAGACCTTTCCGCCAATTCTCGGTGAGACCGCATGGGTTCGAACAACATAAAGGATCCCATTTGACCTGTACGGAAATGGCAAGGAAAGAGGGGGAACTTCAATTTGAAGGGTTCCCCTGATATCTTTTTTCAGACGTACCCACATGGCTGTGGGTCAAAACCAATGGTACCATTTTGGGGTAGGTGCACCACCCATTTTTGTCTATTTTAGTGTGGATTGGGATGTTCACTGGGGGTACGATTTGGATTTTGACCCATGGCCACATGGTTGCACCAGGTACGACCGGAACATTGAAGCCACCAATGCTGCGGCCTCAGCTCACGCCCCAAGGGCTGGAAACTAGGGCTTTGCGGCGGCAAGAGTGGTTGAAACCATCAGACCCTCGAACCCTTCAAATGGAAAACCCAAAGAGGTTGTTTGAACAGTGGTTGAAACATGCTTAACGGAGCAGGTCTGTTGGTTTTTGTTTCGCGGGGCTCCCCACCAAACTCGGTAGTTTGCTGAAAGGGCTCCCTCTTTATCCCAGAGGCCGGGCAACCCCCAAGTGTTCAGACTCCCCAAGAAAGAAAAAAGCCTAGCGCACCACGACCTGGTCAGCTTTGTGGCTGATTGCTTGGATCTTTATATTTCGGTTTTTGCGGAAACAGTGTGCTTTCCATAGGAGAGGTCAGCAGCAGCCAAGTCAACTTGGGGCCCCCCGACTTGGCGCCAAAAAAGTCACAAGCAAAGCTCCCGCCCGCCGAGGTCCGGATCGACTTCCCGTGTCCCAAGAACACGGCCAAGGCACACATTCCAAACACAGCGCCGGGGCCCTCAGAGCGCAACACCGATTTCTGGTGACCATTTTTGTAGGCGGTTCTACTAGCTTTTAGTAGGGATAGTAAGGCCAGAAGCAAAAGTCAGATGGGTTTCGGGCTTGGAAGCTGTGCAGTATCAGTTGCTTGACGTCTCAGCCTTTTGGGCCATTTGTTTGTTTCCTCCAGGGGACCCTCTCAAAGTGCGGGATTCCTTTGGGTTACCTTCAAGACAGCACCGACATGGATGCTACTATGACTTGGATTCCATGACGGAAGCAGGCAGCGACCGATCTTGGTCACCTTGATGAGCAAGTGATGAATCCTTGCAATTGCAAGTCAACAAGTGTGGCCGTGTTCCAGGCAATCAGGTGCCCCATCTCACTGCCGTTGATCAAGTGGAACTTACAGACCTGCAAGGCAACATGTCGAGTTTAGAACTATTTGTTTTCTGAACATGTCCGAAAAGTCCATCCGAGCTTTCTTCGAAGCTCATATCAAGAGAATCAGACAAACTTGTTGATGCACTTGCTTGATGCACAAGCACCGTGCTGAATTCACGTCTTACATGATAACTTATGGACATACACTGTGTGGCGGTATGTCATGTTGACCCAATGAAGTGGAGTGAATCCGGCCTTTAGGGTGTCGTTGGAACGCCACTTTTGGGAGCGCCAGTTTGGAGGGAGCTTCCTAGGGGTATGGTGTGGAACGTCACCTTTTGGGCTCCTGAAGGTGAGCCTCCTTTGAGAGTGTGTACAGTAGTTTTGCTGGTGCTGGAGCTGGGGTGGTGTTGAACCAACACGGAAGGTATCCAAAGAACGCAAGGGAAGGTAGTCCAGTCGCCCAAAATGTATAGGGTTGAGCATCCCCAGTAAACCTGTACCCTTCCTCGAACGTATGCGAGACGTTCAATATGACCAAGCCTACCTACAGAAAGGAGACTTCCAAAGGAGTGAACTTGAGCCCCTGGAAACTCAGCTTGCCTTCAGGGTCCTCATAGGGTGCTAGCTGTCTGATCGGATTATGATGTTGCATGGACAACTTTGAGTCATGTGCTGCCCAAGGTTTTCCGAGTAACCCTTTCAGCTGGTAAGACCGAATGAGACCTGTGGCTATGTGACAAGTTGCATACAGCCATACAGCAGTGCGAGTTTGCCTGACCATGCAGCCCATTGCAACCCGTAAATGCAGAGCTTTCTGCGCTTGTGGCCAAGGTGTGTGCATAGATTCTGCAACAACTTTTAAGAAGTTAGCTTAACATGTCTCAGTCCGTATGATCTCCAGCTCCAACATGAAATGCGAAAATGATACACAAAGGCGCGGAATGTCTGTAAACAAGCATGGGCAATCTGGGAGGAGCTGCTTCCTTCAACTGAAATGATGTGCCCTGCCGCGCCAGTGTTAGCGTGGTGATGGTCTTTTCCAATCGTTGCCGTGTGCTTGATACTGCTTTCATAAACCGGTGAGGGCACAACTTATGTTACCTCATCAGCTGAATGCTTCCATGCAAAAGTCCCTTGACGAAACACACCAGGCACGCAAGTGCTCGCTGATCAAAATGCGTTTCCTTCAAGCCCGTATGTGCTGCAACGCTCTACTTCAGGCATCCACATTCTGATTTTGAGCACTGGCAAAAAGTACTCAGTTGGATACAGCATACTCCATGCCTCCCCATTAACAAAAAAGCTTTAGCATGCAAGCTTCTAAAGTAGAATTTTGTTGGAAGCTAAACACATCATTTCATGATTGAGCTGCCACGACCATATTGTAGATCACCTTTGCAAGCCCAGGTGTGCTTTTGGGCCGTCCTAGCAGACCTCACTGTCGCCTATTTTGGGTGGGGTCCAAGGCCTTCCTCATGTGCCATGGTCAAAACGCTCTTTTCCTTGGGCTCAAAATCGGGCTGGTCATGGATCCCTGAGTCCTGATTCTTGGATTTTAGCCAACCATGGCTCAGGGAACCACAACGATGACTGAAGGAGTTTTGACCATTGCGTTCAGGCATGGCAAAGCCCGGTACGACCCGGCACAGGCGCGGGGTGTGGGCGATCGGCTCCAAGCTGTTTTCGAGTGGGCGCTTTGGGTTGGTTGAGAGTGTGCATTCAGAGATACAAGAAGCGCAAGACAGCAACCAGCACCCCCCAACAACAGCTTTTTTCCATGTCCAAAATCCCAAGTACTGTCCAAAAAGCAGTGGTTGGGGAGTGCCGGACACAGGTAAGGCAAATTAAAAAATAGAAGAGCAGAGCGCAGCAAAGAGAGGAAAGCGAAGTGAGGCGAAGCCCAGCCAAGCACAGCAATGCAAAGCAAACACACGAGCAAGCTGGGAAACATTGGCAAGCATTGGCAGGCATGCCCACGCACACACATACAAACATTAGCTATCACGTTTGTAGATATGAACATGCACACGATTGACACTAAACACTATCAGTATTTGTCACTTACATAGACACACACACACAAACACACTTGAGTACATCCTACGAATCACTGGGCGAAGACAAAGACCAACACCACATGTGCGGTCAACAGGCTGTGTGTCTCCCACATGGTTTGCATGGTTTTGCTTTTTGACGGCCTCCTCTTGAGTAAGGCTTAGAGGCGCAGCTAAGTTAGCGTGTATTGGGGACCTCCCTTTCCTTTCGTTTGGTTTTTAAGCATCCGACAGCGTCTGCAATATTCGAGCTTTCTCAAACGAGCGGTGGGTTGACTTTCACTTGTTGACTTCTCAAGCGCAAGCCCTCCTTTTTCAATTGAAGGCGACGATTCATGCAGGTGGATTTGTTTAAAGGTCGGGGGTGGCAAGAACAACCGAAGATATGCACATGCAGTTTTCATGACGATCTCAGGGTTTAGCTTCCAGGCCCGTCGGGTAGAAGCAGGTGTAGGGAGAAGCTTCAGGGTTTAGGTGCACAATTTAGGTTCAGGGGTAGGTTTAGGGCTCAGGTTGTGGGTTCAAGTTTAAGCTTTAGCTGTAGGGATTAGGTTCAGGGCTTAGTTTCAGGGTTTAGGTGTAGGGCTCAGATTGTGGCTTCAGGTTTAAGCTTTAGGTGTAGGGTTTAGGTTCAAGTGCCGGAAGCCGGTGATGTATGTTTTGTACACAGTCTGTTTCGTTTGTGAGCCCAACGTATGTCTCCTGCATTCGTGATACTTGCAGGTTTAGAGTTTTCCGGACTGCATTCACTACGTTTATGGCAGATTGCGATGCATTTATCCACATTGGCGCATTGGGATTGCCTTGACAATCATTGTGACATGAACTGACTCACTTTCCTGTCTGTCTGTTGGGACTCCGGCTGTTTGTTTCAGTTGCTTCCGTAAGCAGACACTCTCCCTTCGGGCCAACATGGCTCAAGATTTCGAAGACCTAGCATCGGATGAAGCGCTTCGAACCTTTCGAACCTTTGGAACGTTTGGAGCGTGTGGAGCGGGTCGTAAAAAGTGCCTTATTGAGTACATCCGGATAGAACTGGAATCATTCTGGATCATATTGCGGAAGTCATTGTTGCGGAATTCTTGTGACTTTCAATTCCGATATGTACAGATATTGATGCGGACTTTGAGACGCATATATTTGATCGAGACGATTTGGTATTTGGCTTTGTGCGGAGTATTGATGCAGCGCATTTACGGGTCCAGGTTTAGGGTTCGGGGAAACAGTTGGGGGCGTTGCCTGCACTGGGCATTGGTTCGGGGCCGGCAACCCAAGGGGCCCAGCCGTAGGTATAGCAACGGCTTGGATGAACCGCCCCTCTACCAAGTTTTAATGTTTTTTTGCTCAAGAACAGCTCGCAACTAGGGCATACCCAGTTAATACATTTGCTCAAGTTAACCCCTTCGCACGATAGAACCTTGGGCCATGTACCCTGATGACACTTAGCACTCACCGGGCTGAAAGGTTTTTTTGGGTGCTCCGAACTGCGATCCGAAGTGGCCGCAGGGCGCTGTGGTGTGGCGTATTCGCCGCTTCCCCGGGCGCCATGAGTACAACCTCCTGGCCGAGGCCGCCTTTTTCGGTGTCCGGACGGGGAGGTGTGGCAACTGCTTATGGGGAATCTGCAGCCGCCCTGTGAACGCCTGAAAGGGGTCCCGCATTTGTGGAAACACATCGGTTGCTTGAAGGCGCCGTTGGCTTCTTCCCACGGCGCCGATGAGAAGCCGCTTCTGGTGACCGATTCGTTTCGATGCGGGGCGGCGGTCAAAATAGCATGGCCATCCTTTAAAAGGCGGGCCAACATGAAACTGGGGTTTTCAGGAACAACCGTATATGACTATTTTCAGGGGTGTATTCGTTGCATGTTGATGTTCTGATTAGATGAGAGGGAGGGAATCCGCAAGGCAGGTTCAGTGCAGCAGCACTGTGGCCTTTTGGCACAGGACGTACCTCTCAGCAGGTGTTGCTTGGGCCACTTGGCCCACTTTGGCCCTTTGACCACATGCGGTGAGACTTATTGGCGCAGTGCGACTTATTGGCGCACACGTGCACAGACTCGGTTCCTGGCAGCTTATAGTTGGGGACACGGGGGGCCATGCGATTCGTGTCCACAATTTCTACCATCGCCAGATACTTACCTAAAAGGTTTTGCTGGTTTGGAGCATTCAGGGAACATGGCCACACCACACGGCCTAAACCAAACAGCATATGCGAACGATGGGTGTCCTGAAATAGACAAAATGGTAGCACCAAACATGGGACCAAAATGCTGTCCTTGCTGGCACCCAAAACAGCCGACCGGCGAGCCTACGCCACCGACTTTTTTTGCGGCACCCCCTTGGCGGGGTTGGGTTAAAGGGAATCGTGAAAGAATCCACCCATTTGGGGGGGTTTCCTTACAAAGGCAAAGCCATGTGTTCACTTCCCTCAGGGCTGCAACGCAGAAGGCGTGTTCCATGCCAAGGTCTCTCACTTCGAAGAAGGCGTGTCCTTGCAAGTCTAATGCTCAACAAGTTCACTTGCGCCGTTTAGATTTTGAGTCACCATTCTTCAGCATTCACTTGTGGGGGTCCTTGCATTGATCTTGCTTTTCGCCCCCTGAGGGACTCTAGACGGAATCCGGCAACCTTTTGGGCTCGCGAAGAAACCATTTGGCAGAGGCCACACTCCTTTGGGCACTTTTGGGCCAATCGTTGGGATCCGTGGGATTTGTGGAGGTTGCCGCTTTGTCCGTGGTGATGTTGAACAGCACTCGGTTGCCAACTCAAAATGGGCTGATGTGTTCGGGTGAGAAATCTTGGCACAACACTGTGCAGCTCAAAAGGGGCACCCAAAGATGTATGGGTTCATTACTGAACGGCTTCACTCCAGGTGGTCGCAATATCGGGGCCCGCAGGTGGAGCTAGCATCTACCATCACGGAGAAGCAGTGGGTGCCTCCCATCCCAATTTCTCCTCCAAGCCTGGCGGTGGGGCGGGGAACGGGCAGTGGAATTGCGGCTGTTTGACGGCCTATGTGTTACTTGAATCAATCAAGTGTGAATTTATGTTTGGTCATTTGAGGCGAATTGTCCAAGTTTGGCCTTGGGTGGCGGATTTGTTTGACAGCGTCACTTCAATTTGTCGCAGGCTATGTATGCCAAGCACAAGCCCGGTTTTGTTTGATTGCAGGTGAAGAGGGATGAACAGTTGCTTTAAGCACGCGGCATGTTGGCTTCTTGGACTGGATGTGCATCGGTCAACACCATGTGCTGAATGTTCGGCTTTTCGGGAAAAGTCCAAAAGGGAGAGTCCAGTGGTGGCTAATTCGATACCTGAATGTTGGGCCAAGTGGCTAGGTATCCCCAAACATGGCTGCGGTTTTCCTGGTGGTGTCGTTTAAACACCACACACAACAGACACACCCAAGTCAGCAAGTGCTTACCGGTTTGCCGGTTCTTTTCAAGCGACCATGGCCCTTGCCTGGCCTGAACATGACACACACACAGATAACATTGATTCTTGCACCAGCGTGCAGTGGAAACCGAACCGTGCCGTTGCAGCATTTGGATTATTTGCGTCGGCAATGGTGCGGGCAGCATGCAAGCCATATCAACACATGCATCTTACTCATGGTGGTGTTTGCCATGTTGTTGAAATTCCAATGGCCGCAAATTGCAATGGTGCCAAATCTGCACTCACGGTGTATTCGAGCCTTTTGTTTCAAGCCTTTGTGATGGAGGCAGCAGCTCTTTCCTCCAACAGGCCCCTCAGAGTCATGCAATCACTCGGATAAGTATGACATTTAAGCAACACAGTGGGACGGATAGTCAGCCCCTGCGCGGGGTCCCGAAAGAGCAACTATCATGTGTGTATGTATATATATATATATATATTATTATTATGTACATAATATATATATAATATGTCAACATACATATATACTATCACTATTTGCCACAGATTCGACCGTGGCACGTGGAGGGCTATCCCGCTCAGTTCGCCCGACTTCGTTTGGTTGTCCGCCATGGTGAATTACGACAAGAACATTCAGGGCCAGAGCCCCAACTGGTCCTAAAAGGGCGGAGGATGACAGATGCTTGGAGCTTATGTGCTGTAGTGGGGTGTGCGGTGCTGTGTGTTTGTGTGTGCTTGTTTTCTGCTAGGCATGCTCTTACCTTGATGGAAAAAGGAGAGCTTCAAAGTTGCTTTTGCCAAGCTAAGTTCGAGCCGTTGGTCAAATCTATTGGTTGCTTGGGGGTCGACTCATCCGTTGAATGTAACAATATTTCAGGTGTTGTTTGAAGGCATTGAATTCCGCCACAGGAATCGAAGCAGCGCTTCTAACTTGGATTCCCTTGAACACTTTGCAACCATAGCTCGGCAACAACGGGATGCACGCATTTCATTGAGGATTCCACATGCCGGTGGCACCTTTCTCATTTTCTTAGGTGTTTTCTCTAACTCGACAACCAGCACACAGTGTGTGTGTGTGTGTGGGTGTGTGCCTGTTACCCCTCACTTGAAAAAAAACAAACACAATGGCAGCAGTGTCCAGCTCTTAAGGAAACACCCCAAAGGGCACCCTTCAAAAGAAATGCACATACCAGACATTCCTATGTTTGTTTCTTTTTCAGCAACGGCCGCTTTCACATAGAATGCAACAATTCTAGGAATGCCTCCGTTCATCGGAATCCTTCCGGTATTTATTGAGTTTTTGGGAACTCTTGACTTTGAGGGTTCGCCCAATTGCTGGCATTAATGGGCTCCCGGTGTGTCTGCTTCAGAGGAAAACCATCTGTTTTAGGGCTTCCCTCATTTAACTGGCAAATGAAACTGCACTGTTTGATCCTTTTAACAATAAGCAAATCATTGGAACCTTGGGTAGGGAATATTATTGAACATACTCCTGAGCACTTCCCTACAAGACTTGCAGGATGTATTCCCACACAGACCTTCCGGCCTTCTCGGTATGTCAAAACTTGTGGTTGCTTTTCTCTTGGTTTCCCTTTCCCAAGTATCCCAAAGAGCTTTATTTCTAAGACATACTTAAACCTGGTCGAGCCAATCCAAGAGATTTTGAGCATACCTTTGGAGCATACCCCGCACTTTCGATGAAAGGAATCCTCATAGGGTTGGGGCGTGCTTGAAAGGAATATCAAAAGTTCTTGGCGTCATGGTTCCCAAAGTGCAACCTTTTTTTTCTCCAGGCCTGGTTGCAAGTGAGCACACCCAGGCGCCAAGCGCGACGCAGCCCGGCAGGCGCATGAGGCGGGTGTTTTCGCTAAAGCGCGAACGGAAGGCAGGTGCTTTGTCCCACCAGACCAACAGGAAACAGAGAGACTTTGGGGCGTGATGCTGAGGTGGATGTGTGTTTGGGTGGACTTTGTGCGAGGGGGGGGGGTGCGTGCGTGTGTTTGTGTATGTGTGTAGCTGGCTGACGGAACCCTTTCAAAGACGACAACTCATGTTGGGTTGCCTTCTGTAAGCTGTCCGAAGAGCCTCTTTAGAGGAGAAACGGCCTAGTTATTTTTGTTTGGCGCCCCTTTTCAAAAGATTGCCCTCAAAGTCTACGCCATTTCTTCCCATGACCACTTGGCCACTGGAGGCAACCGGCTGGCGGTTAGCAGGCCGCTTTTTCCGACATTTGTCAGGCAAAGCTCAAAGCGAAGCAGGCAGGCCACGCGGATCTGAGCCGAAATGGGCGGAAATGTTGTTTTTTCCCTTTTGGGCCGGGACCATACACCTTCAGAGAAAACCCAAACACGCAGGCACCAAGGGGTACAGGGGGACATAAGCCTTGAATCATGCGTGATATCATAGTCCTGATTTGGGGCTGGTCCTTTCAGGCTTTTGATTCATAGACATCCTCACGTGTTTTGTTTTGGACAAATACCATCCTCTTGAATTCAACCTTTGCGATTGTGGTAAAGAAAACAATTGCACACCAAAAGGCAGTTCGGGTAATATGGTTGTCTTCACCCATGGATTCTTGGTAAGGCAAGAGGGAACTCTTGAGTAGCTGGGCATACTGCGAGGATAAGGAGGATGCGAGAAGAGCGGCCGCCAAAGCAAAGAGGGAGGCCAAGAGCTCAGTCGTCGCGCTGGATTGATTCAGCAGACGAACCTCTGAACCTCAAAGAAACCCGAAGGGCAGAACATGTTTGGCTTCTGTTATGATCTGGCTTGACATTGGTTTTGTTTGGTTTCCAGCATTTTGGGAGCAACTCGGGAGGGAAAGTGGACCTATAGAGGGACTCTGGCCTGCGCAAGGACTCCAACCATTCATGTTCCGATTTTGCTGGCAAAGAAATGCTGGAAGTTTGACAAATGAGCAATCTCAGCCCCACCTACCTTGTAGCGATTGTCGCAGTGCTCAGGAGAAGAACAGGCGTGGCCGGGTCAGATCCGGGTTGAGGCACTCTAACTTGCCAGTAGTTGCATGTGTATGCGGTGATTTCCATATCCAATAGATATGATGAATGCTTCTGAATTGCAACCCCTGCTCATCATATGTTGGTTTCCAGGTGAGTGCCTGGCGGGTGTTCCGCTGCACCAGAGTGCCTTGGTTTGACTGGCCCTAGCCGGGAGCCAAAGCAAAACCAACTGGATAGTTGAAGGTTGGTAGCTACGTAGGGCGGATGCACCATATCCTGAACGGCTTACGCC